ACCCAGATGGATCACTCTGGCAAGCAGGGCAGCAGTCTGCATTCTATTGCATCGAAATGTGTTACTGACAGGCAGCAACATAAGGGTGACTGTGTGCTGTCCCTGGCATGACTGGAGTATAACCTGCCCATCCAAACAGCTCCTGTTGGACCCCTTGCCCCATCTCCCCCATTTTACCCCCACCAACAGACTACATACCTACATGTGAGTGGAGTTCAATTGGTCACAGCAGCCTTTTTATTAAAGTGACACTAAACTCAGGAGTTATACCTTAAAAATGCATTCAAGTAACCTATTAACAAAATGTTATATGCACGGATGGAATAGCATGGCGGGAAACCACGTGATCTGCCTGGCGTGACTGAAGTGCCATTAGAAAAGAAAGGCACCGCCAGCACGACCATCTGCACGGTTTCGTGCACAAGTGCTGCACGGTCACAGATCGCCCAAGTGTATACCTGGCATAAATGTGTGACATTGTGTGAAACTGACCAGTTAAGGATTTTTTTTTTCCTCAACATGAGTGGAGTTACACTTTAACACTCTTGCCTATGTAAAAAAATTGGATAAAATGCAAAAACTGCTGAAAAACTTTTAGAGATAAGGATTTGAAACATTTTGTACTTATAAATATATTTAATTCATAATATACAGCTGTAAAAAGTGCACAATAAAGGACAGAATTGTAGTATAGTTTAATTTTGATTATACAATTCTTATAAACATCACATTTAACAGTGTTACAGATGTAAAAGCATTAAAGGAATGGGAAAGCAATATATTTTAAGCTAACATTTGCTTATTGCTGCTAATATGTTGCGCTCAGTCTGAATGTGAACAAATAAACTTTGTGAAAATCACCTCAACAAATGAACATAAGTGAAGTCAAATGGATAAAGTCTCCGTGCAACAAACCCTTTATTTTGTTCACATTCAGACTGAGCGCAACATATTAGCAGCACTACACACGATTACTCAATCACAGATTGTTGCAGCTAGTCTATTGTTTAGATCACTATTATACTCTGAGCGCAGGAATTTGCCATTCATTCAACATTTGCTTATTAATCCTGCACAGTGGCTGTGTCTTAGGGCCCATTCGAACCTTCACATTCTGATGCATTGGTGCACTTGATGTTGTACGTGAACCTGCATTGTGTCAAAGCAGCCCAATTTATTTGAATGGGTTCTCAATGCACCAAAACACACAAAAAACCCCCACAATGCAATAGTGTTAATGGGACCTCATAATTATCTCTCAAGATTATTTCAACGAGTGCAGCAATGGAGATTATTTACCACTAAGCCTCGTGTGTTTTATAAACGCACTGCATTGTGTTATTAAGGCACCTATCTAATTGACTTGAATAGTGAAATGTAGGTAAAGATAAAAAAGCAGAGCAAGCTGCAGTTTTGTTTTTTGGAATGTATGCGGGGTGCAACTACAGGCCAAGTTGCAAAATTTGGATTGTGCCCCTAGTAACCTCCCCTACCATCAATGACCTTAACATAAAGTATGTTTAAATCAAGGGCAGGTTGCAGGAGAGCTGTCAGCACAATCAGTACATTACTAGGAACCAGTGCTGTGGAAATTGTCAGGGAAGACGGGGGCAACGGTGCAGGGAATGACATTTTAACATTTATTTTCCAGCGAATCACTCTGTCCACAATAGTTCCGCAGTCTTTTTTTTAGCATTTCAGATCTTAGAGCCCCAGTGTAAAATATAAGCCCTCCAACCCTTTCAGCTGCCACAGCAAGCAAGTACTAAAGGAGGCTGTGCAGTAGTCAGTAAAAAACAAATTCTGTACAACAACATGTGTGGAAACAATCAATTTGTATTAGGGTTTAATTTACTTTGAGCAACAATTCATTGGTTAAAGTCCACTTGAACCTTCTTTAATTGATATGTGTATACAGTAATAAACATGCTGCTCTTTTGCTTGTTTTTTAGCTACCAAGTGCTACAGCAAGGGTGTAGAAGAGTAGGACTATTTCTCTTTATCATAGGGGAAAGGCATTCAGAAAGTCCATCAGAGAATTCAGGCAGGGCTGATAACCAGGGGCGTAACCACAGATCACGGGGCCCCATAGCAACATTTTGATGGGGTCCCCCAGCAACCTCCCTACTGTCAATGATATTAAAGTCAGGTAGCAGGAGAGCTGTCTGCATAGCTCCCCCTGTACATCTGATGTCTTCTTGATTAATAATGTCAGTGTCAGCAGCAACTTCTGCAATTGTGATTGGGGCCCCCTTCCACCCCCAGGCCACATAGCAGCCGCGTGGGGCACTATGGCTATTGTTACGTCACTGCTGATAATGCTGCTTGGATTTTGAATGCAGTAGAGTTATCAGCTCAGTCAGGACATTAGGAGAACAATGAGGTTGTGACAGATCAACAGGTATTTTTCTGCACAATCAACCTTTTTTTTAAAGAGACAAAACAAGGGAAATGTGCACGTACTGCAGACATGTACTGAGTATGTTTTTTTTGTCCAGACATACACTTTAGGGATTAAGTTAAAAAAAATTTTGATAGAGGGGGTTAAATGTTAAGGAACAGGTTAAGGGGATGTTGGGGATTTTGAAAGAGAACTATAGCCAGGGCTTGAAAAATACACTTGTCCTTGTCTGTGAGGCCATCAATCACTGATAACACTAAACTGATGAGCAGTAAAAGCGTTTTCAGCATCTCCTATAAGCCAATTTTCAGTGTGGTCATTTTTTGCGATTTTGCAGGCATGCCCAATTTTAAGGGTTGACATGTTTGGTGTCTATTTATCCACCGTGACTCATCTTTTATATTTTACCAAAAATATTGGTAAGAATAGATGTTTTATAACATAACATAGGGAAACTTTTTTTTCTTTTTAAATTTACGGTACTTTTTCCAATATATAGTAAAAAATAGAAGCCCCAGTGGTGATTAAATACCACCAAAAGAAAGCTCTATGTGTCCCTCAAAATTTTTTAACATAAATTGCAAGGCTATAGTCCGGTCATGCTGACTGGTGACATTTTTGACTAACTGGTGAAACACTCTAAAAATTTTCAAGCCCTGACTATAGCCAAACCTTTTTTGTCTTTAGTTCTCTTTTGGGTAACAGGAATACATTTACTAAGATCCCGACAATATTATCCACCCCGCTGCCTGATTGACAACTGGCTCAGCCTCTCTAGAGCCAGTGGCAGATGTGCCTGTCCCCTCCCCGTCTGTCCGTTCAATAAGGGCTGGAGAAACAGAGAGGGAAGAATCCCTGCGGGTATCAGAGACTGACAGTCACCACTCTCTGCAGGGAGAAGCCGTGAGCTAGGCGATCAGCAGTTCGTGATTGCTCAGTTATTGAGCTATAGAGCTGAATTGTGACAGCTGCAATGTCACACACCGGCTCAAACTATTGGTAAGAGTACATTTTACTTTCCCGATACTTCTCCTTTAACGGGAAGGTATAGTGGTATTGTACCAATTGTATTTATTTATTATGGTTACTTAAGAAAAAAAAGTATTTTTTTTAGTCACGTAACTATGGGAAATTTTGCCCACAAATATTCAGAATGACTCATCCCAGTGACTCATTTATTATTGGATGGCAAGTGTGAGGTTTCAGTCAGACAAAGCCAGCCTCGTGGGAAAAAAAATCTACGAATTATCTTTTTAGCTTCTTCACCCATAGTGGTCTTGCAATCATTTGTAATGTATTAATGCTTATTTATATAAAAACAAACCAGTCTGTCTATCTATCTATCTATCTATCTATCTATCTATCTATCTATCTATCTATCTATCTATCTATCTATCACACGTATGCAGCTTTCTAATTAAGGCAATTTGTATATGGGAGAGTTCACCACTGGATTGACTAGTACTGTGACACAAAGATAGGATTTTGTTGGAGACAAGCTTTGTTTTTAACTACAGACCAAAAACATTGAATTACATTATTTTGTACTTACTAAATAGAGAAGAAAAATGCAAACAAATGAGACAATTAAATCAGACAATGACAAAGATTGCATGCATGGTGGTTGTGGATGACCATGTACTATCTTACTTTATATACTAGTTCAGGGAAGTTAATCAACAATCTATTTTCTCTAACTAAATAAATATTATCAAACATAATTTCCCATCTTCTCATCTTATTTGTTCTTAAATAGTGTTACAGGAGAGAGGAAATGTCCAGTTCAAACTAGTAGATTCATATTATCATTTTATATAAAAGAAAAAGCTCTCCATTCTAAATTTGCACCACAATACACTTGATAGTTTTAAGAACCAGAGTTCAGAATATTTATAGATGGACCCTAACTTTTGAACTATACATGTAAATTTATACAAGACATTGTGGCAGATCCCGGTCAGGGTCACTATTTTTTATCATGTTAATCATTATTGCTGGGGCAGTAAGTGAGAAGCCAAAATATATGAGTTGTCACCACACCAGAAGTAACGGGAATATTCTCCAATAAGGACATACAGTATGTTGCGTTGATAATCTTCAAGGTGGGAGTTTCCCTCACATTAGGGATATTTCCACTGGCACCTTTCTGGGAGAGGAAGTGAGAAGAAATTAAAATCTTTTTGATGGGACCTAAGAATATAACTCTTAACCAATCAATCAAGAATTTAAATTTAAGATTCAAAAGCTTTACTTTAAGTATTAAAACTGAAATCAAGTAAGAGTTGGTAATCTGCAGATCATGGAATGCAGTCCTATATTTATCATGAGGCACTTGTAGGCTATTGCCTAAGGCTATGACAGCAGGGTTAAGATGGTCATAGACATTAGGGAATAGTCAGTTATACATTCATGATCGAACCATTTCACAATGTCTTCTGGGCCAGTTCTCTAACTATGGCCTTGGAGAAATTGCATTGCTCTTCTATGTGCAATGATGTCATTGCATTTTATACAATGTTATCACAACTATAAATAAGTGTGTGGGGGGACCCTATCCTTCAACAAATAATTTGTACCGTAGTTACATCTTTATCTAGACTTAAGTGTTAATATTTTCCACCTGTGTTACATTTGGCTTGTACTTAAATTTGGCCCGGAATTCTTTCACTGCAAAGTAATAGCACAGGGCATCGAGGCAGCAGTTAATGTTAGATAGACAGAGAGCCACATTCAGAAATATGCTGATGTGTTTTCTCACTCTGCAGTCTGAAATGATCTGTCTTCTGGCCAGAAACTGCAAGAAAATGCCAATATGAGTAAAACTGAAGCAAACCAAAAACACCACCAGATTACAGATGATTATGCGTACAACAACAGCCTTCGATTCTTCAGACTCTACTGAGGAAGATACGGTGATCAGTAGTGTCCTGACGCTCTGAATTGAACAATACAACATAATGGTCATAGGAATAAAAAATCCAAATATTTCCAGAGGTATGATTATGTGCGGACTCCAAATGCTGTCAGACATGTTATGAAAACAATTAACATTTTCCTCTTTTTTTTCTCTGCTGAAAAATGTGCTTAAGGAAAAGCTCCAAACAAAGACCCATATAATGACACATATTATTATGGTCTTTTTAGGTGAGCGTATAACCCTGGCCCAGAAAGGATGCATAATGGCTATGTATCTGTCCAGGCTGATGAACATAATTGTGTAGATGCTGCCATACATATTGGTAAAGTAGAGGGATTGTAGGAATCCACACAGATGACTGCTCACCTTGATATCATCTTGGGAGAAGTGCAGTTTTGTGGGCAAAGACAGAACAAGGAAAAAATCCAGGATTGCCAGATTTATCAAGTATATTGAAGATTCTGTGTATTTTTTCATGGAAAAACAGAAGATCCACAAAGCGAATGAGTTCAGCAAGAAGCCCAGGATGAATATGGGAATGTAGGTCACCAACTGAACAGGGCTCAGTATTGAAGAAATGTTCACATAGGAGCAGTTGTCCTTAATCATGTTCAGTATTCTGTTAACACAAGACAATTTTACATTTTGTTTTTACTTAACTCACCACTCAACTGCAGATACCTATTTGCCAGGTTTTTACCTGGGCAGGTATACATCCAAAATTAAAATTAAATATATTAACCTGATTCCAGCGGCAAATCTAAATTTTGTTTGCAAGTAGTTGCAATGCTACTCTAGATTGCCCCTCAGATTTCAGGCTCTGATAAGTCATCTTTTACCCTTTTTGCCCCAAAAGTTACATAATGCTTCTCTTGCAAACTCAATATATATTGCAATCTCTTGCAATGTATAGTCCATCCATTGCTAACAGTCAGTTGGTTAACAAGTTAGAGGTCAAGAGGAGAAGATATCATACACATTCTGCATTCACCTGAGACAGCTGTTTATATTTGTGAAGACACCATTGGATTGAGTCACCACCTCTCTGCTAGACATATGGGCTCTGCCGCCTGCCTTAGCCATCACAAAGTCTGCGGAGTTCTAAGATGTCCATCAAAGTGACAGCACTTAACCAGGACCACTTGATGCAGGATGAGGAAGCTACATTTATGGGTTTGAAGAAGTGATCAGCCACTTCAAATCTCAAACTACAATCTCAATACAAATTAGTAAACCAAATCTGAGATTATAGTTCATCGCACTAGTGAGCTTGGAGCGGTGACTACTTTACAACACACACAGAAATCCATGGGGAGCAAAAGTAGTCACCCTCCAGAAGGAAGGACAGTGTCAACAAAATTCAGCGTTGATTCAAGGTTTTACAGCCAAGTGATACCCAAGTAAGATACATTTTTGTTAATAGTTAAGGTACTTGAATGTATTTTTAAGATTTAACTCCTGAGTTTAGTGTCACTTTAAAGTTTGTCTATAACAAAACCTTTTTTTTAAATTTGAGAAACACCTGTAAGTTTTTCTTTGTTATGGAGATTAGTGTCACTTTAAATGAACCTCTGTGACCATCAAGAGACAATAAAAACCAATAATATGCCTTCCCCAGTGAAAACAGTCAGTTTCACTCTTCCCTAGTGATGAGTTATGTGTGGTAACAGTTGACTTGATTTATTGCAATGCAAAGAAATCAAGGAATTATTATGTCCCTTGCCCAATCTGAAATGTATTCAAATCATGTTTTTAATTTGATAGAGTCAGCAATCCCTAGTGCTATGTCCACCACCTGGCTAAATTTATAGGCAGCTGATATGGGTCTATTTTTCAACGAATTAAATGTAAATGTCATTTGTTTCTGTGAGCTATTGAACTATGTAATATTTAATCAAGGAAACACGCTCAGAAATCTTTTATAAAATTCGGTGACATACACTACACACAGTGCAATGAAGATAAAACCAATAATGAAACTGAGGGTACCACCCATGCCAATTTCCCCTCTGCATTCATTGTCAAGGCTTTCCAATTTCAGTACTGATAAAAGTATCATTAGTAGAGCAAGGTATCCACAAAATACATACTGACTATTCTGTATGTTTGTAGGCAACACAGATGTGTAAACAGCCTACAAAATTAGTCTGAAAATGAATCTCACATTTTCTTCATTGCTGTAATTTTAGGCCATTTATGAAGTCCATAAAAAAGCGCTAAATATATTCTTGATAGCTACTTTTCTATATATTTTTCAAAGAACAATACTTACATTAATTGCCTTTAGAAGTCTTCAGTCAAATGTATGTTTTTCATACATATACAGGCTCTATGGGAAAGCAGTGTAAAGCAAATGAAATGTCAGAGTATTGATGTACCAGTAAATGCTGTATTCATGAGCTCAGTACCATCTTTTAGCATTCGTAACCACTTCCCCTGTATGTAAGGAACTGCGGTACATGCCAGCAAACTATTGCATGTGTTCAATATTCAATATGTAGGACTTGAGTGTAATGTCAGCCTTTATCTCTGAATTTACCAAATCTGTCAGTGGGAGTACGTTGTAGATAAACTGATCTTATCAAGGATTTTTAGGTTTAGATTTTTATGTAGGAAAAGCAATACATTTTGACGTGCAAACTTGTTCCTGAGAACTGTGATTGTTGTGAAAAAGCAGAAAAACACAAAAAGACAAAAATGTACACACTATATATGCAGCTATAAGCTAGCTTCTGGAAAGACCCAAGAAAAAGTCCAATTGAGATTTTGCTTTATGAATGTTGTTCATAAGTACGTTATTATATGTGTAAAGGTTTATTCTCAAAAGAAAGAAGCGGTGTGCAAATGAAGATACCTACTAATCGAAAGTCCTCACTTACTTAGCCTAATTAAAGCTGAACTCCATGTATAAATATTTATGTATACTTGTACTGGTCCAGCTTGGCCCAATGTAAGTATACAGTAGAAATAAAAAGTCTACACACCTCTGTAAAATATCCAGGTGTTTGAGATATTAAAAAAATCAGACAAAGATAAATCACTTCAGAATTTTTCCACCTTTAATGTGACCTATAATCTGTGCAATTCAATGAAAAGCAAACTGAAATCTTTAAAGGGAAAAAATAAAAATACCAAGCTTACAATAAAGTGGTTGCATAAATATGCACTCCCTTAAACTGATACTTTATGGAAGCACCTTTTGATTTATGACAGCATTCTGTCTTTTGGGTAGGAATCTATTAGCAGGGCACATCTTGCCCTGGGAATCTTTGCCTACTCTTCTTTGCAAAAGATTTCCAAATCTGTCAGATTTCAAGGGCATCTCCTGTGCACAGCCCTGTTCAGGTCACCCCACAGATTTTCAAATGGATTCAGGTCTGGGCCCTGGCTGGGCCATGCCAAAACATTGATCTTCCGGCGAAGCCGTTCTTTTGTTTGGAGATATGCTTTGGGTCGTTGTTGTGCTGAAAGGTGAAATTCCTCTTCATCTTCAGCTTTTTAGCAGAGACCTGAAAGTTTTGTGCCAAAATTGACTGATGTTTAGAACTGATTAAAAGGCCCTCCATCTTGACTAAAGCCCCAGTTCCAGCTGAAGAAAAACAGCCCTAAAGCTTATTGCTGCTACCACCATGCTTCACTGAAGGTATGGTATTCTTTTGTGTATTGGAGATGAGGGTGCCAAGGGACATACCATCGCTGCAGAGGAGGAAGATCTTCAAATGATCAAGCTAACATAACCGGAATTTGAGTCTCCTAGAAAAGACCATTGGACATGGTACAGTTGCAATACATGCACTATTATTGAATATAATTTCCAAAATGATGGGTAGAATTTTTCTTGCAGTCATTGGAATTGAGATTTGCAGAATAGTGGTTGCTGGCAGAGAAAGGGTTAAAGCATAACTCAAGTCAAAGTTTTTTTTCTAAGGTTTGAATAAAGTGGGACATTTTAGAACTTCTCAACTTTTTATTGATGTACAGTCATGGCCAAAAATATTAGCACCCCTGCATTTCTGTCAGATAATGCACCACTTTGCGCAGAAAATTGTTGCAATTACAAATGTTTAGGCATTCTCATGTTTCTTTATTTTGTTTGTATTGGTATGGCACAAAAAAGTGGAGAAAAAAAAGCCAAACCTGACACATTCCATGCAAAACTCCAAAAATGGATAGGATAAAATTATTGGCACCTTCTCCAAATTTCAAGAAATAACTGCATTCCAAGTTTTTGTGGAAAAGCATGGACAATCTCAAGGTTACAAGTCCATCTCCAGAGATCTTAATGTTCCTGTGTCCTCTGTGCGCAACATTGTCAAGACGTTTACAGCCCATGGCACTGTAGCTAATCTCCCTGGGCATGAACGAAAGAGAACAATTGATCAAAGATTGCAAACAAAGGATTATTCAAATGGTGGGTAAAGACCCTCAATCAACTTCCAGACACATTCGAGCTGACTTTCAGGTAGAGGGTACAACTGTGTCAGCTCACACTATACGTCGCCATCTGAATGAAAAGGGACACTATGGTAGGAGACCCAGGAGGACCCCACTGCTGACACAGAAACATAAAAAAGCCAGATTGGAGTTTGCCAAAACTTACCTGAGGAAGCCAAAATCCTTTTGGGAGAATGACAGCTTTTTGGTAAAGTCCATCACTCTACTGTTTTCAGAAAAAGAAATCAGGCCTTTAAAGAAAAAATACAGCCCCTACAGTCAAACATGGTGGCGGTTCACTGATGTTTTGGGGTTGCTTTGCTGCTTCAGGCACTGGATGTCTTGACTGTGTGCATGGCATTATGAAATCTGAAGACTACAAAAGAATTCTAGGGTGCAAAGTAGGGCCCAGTGTCAGAAAGTTGGGTCTCCGTCAGAGGTCATGGGTCTTACAGCAGGACAATGACCCAAAGCACACGTCAAAAAGCACACAGAAATGGTTTCAGACAAAGCGCTGGGGAGTACTGGACCTACCAGCAATGAGTACAGATCTAAATGCCATAGAGCATCTGTGGAGAGATCTCAAAATAGCAGTTGGGAAAAGGAACCCTTCCAATCTGAGAGACCTGGAGCAGTTGGCGAAAGAAGAGTGGTCCAAAATTCCTGTAGAGAGGTGTGAGAAACTCATTGATGGTTACAGGAAGCGACTGATTTCAGTTATTTTTTCCAAGGGCTGTGCTACCAAATATTAATTGAGGTTGACAATAATTTTGTCCAGTCCATTTTTGGAGTTTTGCATGGAATGTATCAGATTTGGCTTTTTTTTCCTCCACTTTTTTGTGTCATACCAATACAAACAAAAGAAAGAAACATGAGAATGCCGAAACATTTGTAATTGCAACTATTTTCTGCCCGAAGTGGTGCATTATCTGACAAAAATTCAGGGGTGCCAATATTTTTGGCCATGACTGTACGTGTCTCTGGAATATTGCTCCTCACGTCCTGTCTATTTGATGGATATCAAACCAAACAAGCAATTAAAAGTTGGGTTTGTGTGGGCAGGAATTGCTATTTTTGCAACTAGTTTGCAAAAATAAAAATGATAAATGCCATAGTGCACATCTGTGTGAGTGTTTGAATTAAGTAGACCAAATCTCATCTGATTATTATATTAT